TTTTGGGCACACACACACACAGCTTCCAGGGCTGGGATGTGAACTCTGATTAGCCATGTGAAATCCAGCTTCCTTTCATGAGGGGGCTGGCTCTAGAAGTCTTCCTGGAGCTTCCCACGAATCATAATAAGGAGAAGGCTAAGTCCTGCAGGAAGTGGAACGGGAGTCAGGATGCTGTTCTGAGCTGACCCTCCCTCCCTGCAGCTCCCGCCAGGTTGCTGGGCTCCTCTTGCTCCTTGGAGAAGACCCTGCAGTGCAGCTGCTCCTTCCACGGCATCCCCACTCCCTCCGTGCAGTGGTGGATGGGAGGTGCCCCTGTGGGTGTGAACAGTGTGAGTGGCCGCCTCCAGGTGACCTCCACTGTGCTTGGCCCCTGGGCCAACAGCACCATCCACCTGGCCAGTGAGCCAGAAATGGGCACGAGCCTTCTCTGCGAGGGGAAGAACGAAAACGGAACCCATGCTCTGAGCATCCTGCTGATGTCACGTGAGCGTGGAGAGGGCGTGGCAGCTGGGTGAGGGCTGTGAATAGGAGGGGCTCTGGCATGGGCTGGAGGAGGGAGTGGAGGGCTGGCCCTGATTCTGAGGTCTGCGGGGAGAAGCCTTGCTCACGTGATCTCTGCTCCCAGGAAAGAGCTCTTTGGCGCCCCAGACCTTCCTGAAAGGGCTGATCCAGGGTGCCGTGTACGGGGCCACAGCCATTGCACTTCTCTTCTTCTGCCTCCTCCCCGTCATGTGAGTACCAGGGTTAAATGCACCTGCAAGCCTCTCCCAAAGCTGGCTGCCTCGCAGGGCCTGGCTTCACTGCGGACACAGAGAGCACAAAAGAAGGCCCCCTCCCTTGAGGAGCTCAGGGTCTGAAAAGGAAAAGAGGCACGGAACAGACTCACTGTAACCTAGGGCCAGCAGGACTGCACTGAACCGTAACCAGGCCCTGGGGACAGACGTGTGCAGTGCATTTCATAAGGGAGAATGCCAAGAAGGGAGCAGCTGGCCTGGGGAAGCCAGCGGGGTCCCTGAGCCACTCTCCAAGGTGGGCCTCGGAGGCTGGTGGAAAGTGGTATGCCAAGCCCCGGAGTGTTTCTGGGGCATCTTCAGTGAGTTTGTGTAATGTCAGGTACATTGAGAGTGACAGGCAATGGTTAAAAATGAGGTTGGCGAGGTCCTTGGTGTTGGTTCACTAAGACCCTTGAAACTTGGCTAAATGTACCGGCCAGAAAAGGGCAGAGTTGCCGCCGGTGGGGCCGGAGAGCTGGGCAGGGGAGCCTCTAGACAGTTCTGACGGCTTGGGCTACACCGTCAGTGGGGAGCTGCAGAAGGACGCAAGCTGGAAAGTGTGAGTGTGGGATGGGGACACAGGCCAGAGGGCGAGAGCCAGAGGCCAGAGGCCAGAGGCCTGGCAGGAGTTGGTGCTGTGATCTAAGCAGGAGAGTCAGACCTGACCTGGGGTGAGTGAGGAAGGGTGGCCAGAGAGCAAGACCCAGGA